GGTGAACAATACTGTCAATACTTTTGCATTGTCTGTGTAATTTAAACTAAATGCACTATTTTGCTTTTAGAAAACTTCCAAATGTTTCCTATTTTTCTATCCAATAAAAAGTGCAGACTTGAACATGTGGTTAACGAGTTGATGAGTTGCTTGATTACTGAATTTCTATGGATTTTCTCATACAAACTGCAAGGTATTCTATCGAACTCCATGGACATCCTATGGCATTCCATGAAACTGTATCAGTACTTCAGGGAACCGCATGGCATTCCATGGAACTCTACAATATTCCCTGGAATTCCATGGACCTCCAAGGAAACTCCATGGAATTTCATGGTATTCCATGGAACTCCATCACTACTTCATGGAACTCCGTTGAACTCCATGGCATTCCATGGAAGTCCATGGATACTCCATGGAACTCCATGGCATTCCATGGAACTCCATGGATACTCCATGGAACTCCATGGATACTCCATGGATGTTCCGTGGAATTCCATCGATTTCCATAGAATTCCATGGATTTCCATAGATTTCCATGGATTTCCATGGAATTCCATGGAATTCCATGGAGTTCCATGGAGGTATTTCACACGGGTAGGACGGTGCGACCGACCATAAATTGCCTTAAATTTAGGATCAATATTTGTATACTCAGCTGATCCTAAAACAAACTGGAAGTCAGTGCAGACGAATTTAAAAGGTAGGTGTGATGTGGTCGAATTTAGGTGTTCAACGGACTAAACGGGCCGCACAGTTCTGTATGCGCTGAGTCTTAGCGATATGTTCCAATATATGTTGCAGGAGTATTGAAGAGCAAACTATTGCAGTAGTCTTTGCGACCCATAACAAGATTTATAACAGTTAACAAATTAACTGATAACTTTACTTAAAGAAGGATACCTACATCACAACAAGCATTTCTCAAACATTATACGGTGGACCCCCGATATAACGAGGGCCACAGGTACTGGCAAAAAATGCTTTAAAGAGAATTCCCTATATCGAAGTTCTTTTCCATACATTTTACTATTTGAGGGGCTAAGAATATCGTTTGTTTTACCGAGAACTTCGCTGTATGGAGGTTTGTTATAATTACAGAGGTTCCGCTGCATACATGTATCTACGAAATTACAGTTCCGTGTCAGTTTTGGAACGCAATTCAAAAAGCAATGTAAACACTAATCTCTCTTTGTATTTGGCATTATCCTTAGTAAAATATAAGTTAGTCTTATTTCTGTAATATCAACTACTTTCGAGCTATGTATTACTAAGGGTTGTGGCCTTAACTCCAGGCTCGCTTAAATCGTGAGCGAGTTCGTTTGGAACTCCTGCTTATTTTTCACTTTTTTTGGACAGATTTATATATAACATATGCTTATAATGATTTACCCGCTGGAATTCTTTCTATTGTGCATGTTTTAGAGCTGAAAACAATAAAACAAGTCATAACGGGCAAATGGGATACACTAGTCTTGTTCTTTTCAGTTGACTACATTTAAAAAATAAGAAAAAAAAAAGCCATGTAAGAAGCTACATTTTTCAGTAGCCACGCACCTCTCAGCAACCTTTTATTTTACTGGCTCTCCAGAGGATAGTAATAGACATTAATAAACTTGGGTTTGGTCCTTAAACATGTAATACTTATTCACAAGTGTATTGTAAGAAGCGTAACAAAACTAATTACAGAATGTACCTACAGGTGTATGCATTGTAATCTTTCAATCAAATCAAATCTAAATTTGCGATCTCAAAACCAAACTCCGTGGTTAATACTTCCTAGCTAACCCGCATATAAGAACCCGATTGATCTTGCTCGGCTACAGGTTCTTATATGTTTTTGTTTATTAAAAGTAGGTACTTGAACCGTCAAGTTTCTTTTTGATCCAAACTAAAGAAATAAGGAAATCTTATTTTATTCCTGTCGAGTGACTGAAGCAACTTCAGTTTTAAAAATGTACAGTTGAGTGCCTTCAGGGACTATGACCAGATCAAGTCAGTCTACAATATTCCCTCAAAAGGAGTTTTAGGAGATGCTGTTATCGAATTTGTTTTCTAATGCTTTTTAGTTCAAATGTACTAGGCCGTCTGAACATTTCTTTCACCCATCTCGTTAAGTATAGATTTGTATCTGAATGGGGGTACCTCAATAACACTAGACACTTCATTTTTTCGTTTTGTCAAATGAAACAGTTCAATTTTATGCACTTGAACACTAACAGTAAAAGATTCTTTGAAATGGTAATTTTTTTTCAGAAAGAAACAAAAAAGGGCTCCAAAAAGACCAGTAATATTTTCTTTAGTATATCAGGAAGTTTTCGGCCATTTTACAACACTTCCGGATTATTTCAGAAGATTTCCGAAGGCCACCGAAGATTCCCGAAGACTGTCGAGGATTTCCGAAGACTAACGTAGATGTCCGATGATTGCCCAAGATGTCCGAAGAACCCTCCAAACACTTAACGGTATTTTCTTCGGAAACAGTAAACGCTAAAAAAATATTACCAATTTAACAGCAAACACTAAAAATTATGGTCAAATAACACTAAACACTAAACCCCTGCATTCAGACCCTTTTAAAAGAGAAAGGTTTATTGTTAAATAACAGTATACACATGTGTGCGGTAGAGCTGGCGCTCAAAGGAGTTACTTTTGCATTCGCCTCTACGGTAAAGGGTTCTTGATACACGGGTTCGAGCGTTCATTGACCCGACGTCTATGCCATGCTGATGAGCCCCAATAAGGGCGAAACAACTGTCTATTGCTGCTACTGCCGGGTTGATATTATTGTGCGCATGCGGAAGGTACTGGCTATACGTTGGAGTTGGTATGCGTGCTTGTGGCGTGCTTGAGTGCTGATAATTGGTATTTTTCACTTTTGGGTTTGGTTAAATCTACAGTACAATAGTACAGTACCAGTCCCCCCCCCCTCACCGCACCCCCAAACAAATGAGTTTGAGGGTTGTTACCTAACTCTACTTCTCTTAAGTAAAAAAGTCCGCTCAAGGAGGCGCCCACTTTGAGTGCCAGCGGCGTGTTTGACAAATGATATACGGGAACTAAACGCAGAATTCCGTGAGGCCAATAATCCCAATATCCTGGAAAAATGAACTCTTTGCTCAGCTTATAATAGTGGATCCAGCCTAATGACCCCCTTACATAAGAAAACAAACCCGAAGAAGAGCATAACTTACAACTGGCAGACAAATACCGAAACCAATTTGATCTTTGCCTTCTAAATGTGACGCGAATATGACAGTATCAAGTAACAAGCTCACGTAGCAAGTCCTCAGATGAGCAAGACTCAAAGAAACTTGCATAAAAATGACGAGTCAAAAACAACACTTTCCTTCCTTTGCTACCACCGTCTCTGCGTTAGGTATTCTTCTGTATTGCATTGGGTTTTCAAGAATTGAATTAGAGTTGAACAATCAGAAGAAAAGATTGAACGCGCTTGAAAACAAACCGGAGACAAAACCACCACCCGGCGATCCAAACATCGTCAAAATCATCAAGGATGCTCGTGGTATGTACAAAGTTTGTTCTTCTCGTTTTACGCAGCCTTTGATAATAGTTTACAGTTTCATTAATTCCGAAAGGTCTCTTACCATCTTGAAAAAAAACATTCTACGATGATTAATTTAGCATACTTAAACTGTCTTTTGATCACCATTCACTCGCGATTGAGTGTTCCTGCACTGGTAGCGCAAGCACACTATCAGAACGCTGAGCAACACTACGTACCCTACTCACTATTTTATTACTCATGCAGTATTAACGATTCAGTATTAAAACGTAACGTTGTTTGAGAATGTATTTTGTTTTTCAATAAATAAGCAAAATGTGCATGAACGTTCCCTTTTAAGCTTACCTTTAACGTTTTCTTCTGTTTATTTGTTTGTCTACTGCGTTTCAGGCGTCTTAGAAATACCTTTTTTAAGCGAGGGACTGGTTTTCACTGAGATGAGCGAAGAGAGAAAAGAAGGAAAGACTGCACGGGGCTTTTATAGTTTAAGCTTTGCGTTGCCTTCTTGTGTTTCCTGTTAGCAAAGAATCTAAACGTTACACCGAGGTTAATTCGTTTCCGTTTTGGCAAAAGGCCGTACGTGACTAATTTTTCCATGCTTAATCAATAACTGGTAAAAGAAACCATGGTCTTGAAATATAATTTTTGCTTCACTTGTTTCCTCATTATTACAGCTTGATACTGAGCGAACAATTGAATGAAAATTTTTAAATTTTTATTAGCAGAATTTTACACCGATGAACATCATCGAGCCAGAAGACAAGCGAATTCAGGTAAGTAATAACAACAACCACCATAATTAAAGAATTTCACAAACTTTTATCAGAGGGGAGACGGCGACTAGGCTTTGATTTTTCTCGCAAAAGTAGCATGATATGCTACTAGAAGTGCTTGTATTTTTCTTAAATGATGCTGTAAAGTAATTATGCTAGTTTTTGTAAATCATGCTCATTTTAGCAAAAAAAGCAGAAATTTTGATTATACTTTTTACTTAAATAATTTTGGTCAAAACACCTCAATAACTAAGCAACAAACAAGTAAATGGCAAACATATTTACCCTAATTACAACTAAAAAACTTAACTAGTGCATAATTCATTATTTAAGAAATAGAAAACATTTTCCGTGTTTCCATAGCCTGATATAAACACGAGAGGGGTTGGGGGAATTCGAGACAGATTCCAGGGTCACTTCCTGTAGGATCGAGGTCCTATGAATGTGATAATAAGAGGACAAAGAAATTATTTTGTTGCTTACACTTGCCTTTAACACACAGATCGTCGGCCAAAAAAGTTTGTTGCGTGATCAATAAATGACAATTTTGCGCTGCAAAACTAACCAAAATTGCGAGTTAAACTAGAAGTGCTTTTTTTCGGAAAATATATGTAAATTATTCTCCTAATGTCGAATTATGCCAAAAATTATGCCTGCAAGCGCAATTTATCAAAGCCTAAATCAACTTTGCAACAATACGTGACACATGTTTTTCAGGTCTCCCAGGTCCCCCCGGTCCTCCGGGGCCGAGAGGAGAGAAGGGAGATCGGGGACAAAAAGGAAAGAAGGGAAGACGAGGAACCAAAGGAGATAGAGGTATTATGGGATCACCAGGAAAAAACGGGAAGCAAGGAATCATGGGACCTGCGGGACCCAAAGGTGATCTAGGACTCAAAGGGCAAAAGGGAGACGCAGGGCCCGCTGGCATGCCGGGAACGAAAGGAGAGCCTGGTGAATCAATTTCAGCTCCTGTTGTTGCTGTTTCCCCAACAAACCTGACTGTAAACGAAAGTGGAACAGCTTCATTTCAGTGTTCAGTGAGCGGTAACCCTGAGCCTGCAGTAGTGTGGAGTAAAAGGGGTAACCTTTCTGAAGTAAGTGAGTCAGCGGTTTCAAAAGGCAGATTGCTGTTTAAGAATGTAAAAGCAAATGACTCGGGTGAATACCAATGCTCAGCTACAAACATCTTAGGACATGTGCAAACACTGGTGCAGCTCGTTGTAAATGGTGAGTTAATATAAATTATCATCTGGTAAAGTTTCACTCCAGAAGATGACGAATACACTTATCATGTCATTCACTTGGACTTGACAGTTTGTTTCTCTCTTTCTTTCTAGTCTAGTTTCCCTTGTAACAGTGGTATGTTTATCCCAGTGATAGGTGTAACCCGGATAGGGATACAATAAACACTTATAGTATCCGGCCGTAACCGCGACGCTAGAATGTTTTCAGTTAGATTCTTAAACACCGTATCCGACAGACTCGGCTCAGTTCTCACTTACCTCCAGGGCTGTGTATTTGACACAAACCGCAGTACGCGGTAACGCGGGGGATACACATATAACTGAACCCGATCTTGCTGAAGGATATTTCTTCAGTCACGATCATCTAACAGAACTGCTAACACAACCACGAAATCCAGAGATCAAACCAAATGAGAAGGTGGAATATTGTGGCGCTCTCGGGGGATACACATGTCCCTGAATCAGAGCAGAGATATGTGTATCCCCTTCTCTTGCCGAATGAAATTACGTTCATAACTTATTTAACACGACCAGTGACATATATAATCATGTTGGATGAGAGGAGCGACAACGAGTGTTTACATCAACATTGCGGCACCCGAAGAAGTGAACTCGCCAGAAGTAACTTTGCAAATTTTGTCTCGAATGGTTGCTCTTTTGTCGATTATGTTGCTCATAATCTTGAATCATTTGTAGTCCCCCTTGATGCCGATTCGCAAAATTCACAACAACAAAAAAAAAACAACAACGGAAATAAAACCGTGAAAATAGTGGCCACTCGAAAAGAAGAAATCCGAACTCTCTCAACATGGATACATACTAACTTATGACCTTCTTCTCTCCGTGTTACTAATCCAGATGTTCTAACACTGAGCTGCCGAAAACTCAGAAAATGGAGGGAAACTACGCGTTGGTCATACCTCAAAATTCGACATCCAGAATTTGATTTATACATTAATGATCACATTTCCCAACAACTAAAGTTCATTTTTTTTTTAATTTAAACGTTCTATTAAAAAACTGTTAATTTCTTTGCATTCTTTCAGTTCATCCTCGAGTTTCTCTCCACTCGGGGCCTCATTACGCTATTGAAGGCACTAACTTCACTCTTCCCCCCTGTCACGTGACTGGTTACCCTGCACCAGTGGTCATTTGGAGAAAAGCATCAGGTCGGTTGCCCCATGAGAGGGTGAAGTATAACAACAGTAGCTTACAACTTTTAAATGCTCGAAAAATAGATTCTGATTGGTATATCTGTTCAGCAACAAACCTGCTTGGAATTTTTGAAAGGAGAACACTCGTAGTGATTGTTTCTCATCCTCGATTTACTGTTAAGCCACCTTTGAGCATTGTTGCGGTGCTTGGAGACACTTTGACACTTAATTGTAGCGCAACTGGTGACCCTCAACCAGTTATTAGCTGGAGGAAACAAGGAGGTCATCTGCCAGTTGGAAGGAACCAGCAGATTAATAGTGCGTTAGTGATTAGAGACATTACAAAGAACGATACAGAGTATTACATATGTGCCGCAACCAGTGCAGGGGTGTTTGACGTGGAAACTCTGACTTATGTTCAAGCTTATGTTCCGCCAAAAGGTCAGTTATAAGTAGGACATCTAAGCTAGGTTTAGCTTATTCGGACCTTCATCGGCACTTTTTCCCAGCTGGAATCTGAATCACTGACAGTGTTGTTCGCCATCTTGAAGAAACGTGTCATGTGATACCGCTCTCACCTCATGGGAAACCTGCTGCACCAAGCTGGCATTGATAATTTGGCCAGCCCTGGAGTCCACACACCCATACAGTAGTATAAACCAGTTGAATTTAGCTGACTTTTCTTTCGAAAGCTAATAAATATCGCGAAAAAAGTGAAATAATTTTAAAAATGCTAAAAAAATCAAAAATTGCCAAAAATCGCAAAAGTTGTCGATCAACTTGTGGCTAAGCCTAATCTAAGCACTTCGATCAACTTATATAGGTAATGATGATGAGTTTTACTCGATAGACGTTTTTCATTCTGTTTTAGTTCAAGAATGTTTATCGCTGCTAAAATAAAGCCGGTACTATTGTTTATTGTCTACAGATTGTTCTGACTTGTTAAAATCAGGCTATAGTCAGAGTGGAGTGTACTCTGTGAATCCGGACGGAAAAAGATCCTTCAATGTATATTGTGACATGCGCACTGACGGTGGAGGATGGACCGTGTTTCAGAGAAGACAAGTACCGAGCCACCTGAAGATAGCGCCTACCTTGCTAATGTTTAGTCCGAAACCAGTCGACTGCCGACTCAAGACCAATCCTTTGCTGTTCTAGGTGTCCGACTGCCGGCGTGGACCTAGGTCTCTACGAGTGGAGGTAGAAGACTGGAACGGAGTGAAAGCATATGCTAAATATGGCAAGTTTTACATTGGTGATGAGGAGGCGAAGTATCGACTTGAAGTCGGTTCATATTCAGGAACGGCGGGAGATTCGTTAATTTCAGAGCATAATAACATGGCTTTTAGTACAAAAGGCAGAGATAATGACGGCGGGACTGGAAACTGTGCTGTGTCATATACTGGTGCCTGGTGGTATTACAGCTGCCACTACTCCAATCTAAACGGAAAATACCTTAGAGATAAAGTTGATAGCAGAGGTGTCACCTGGTATCACTTCCATATGAAATATCGTTCACTAAAATTCGCAGAGATGAAACTCAGATCGGCATCTTAAAAGCCAATTTAAATACGTCATAATTTCATGACGTGTGACAAGGACCTCTTAGATTACTTATACCTCGAAGACTTATTAAAGTACAAAGTTTGACACTTTTCCAACATTGCCGAAATTTGTAAAATCAGTAAAAAAAAAATGCTAAGAGGATCTAAATACTTTAAAAGGAGCTTTTACTTTAATTTTCTTGGGTAGCTAAAGTAATTATAATTTCAAAGTACAGCGGAAGTATCATCTATAAGCCTCCATGGGTTTTTGAGACTCTCGCAAAAACCGAGTTAATAGTTTCGCTACTGTGCGAAAGTGTGTCGTGCAGTTACGATGCGACGACAGTTGCGATGCCGCTATTTTAAATGAGTTCTATTAAAGTTTAGAGGGAAAGAAAAATTTAATAAGTCGTCGCCAAGAGCCATAATAGGCTCTTGTCGTCGCTTGTCAAAAAAAAACCTTCCCTTCAGGAAATTTTCGTGCAGCAACAGCAAAGAAATCCGACTGAAAAGCGTGCGTCATCATGCACGTGCAGTCCATGTAGAGTAATGTTTTGCTTGTTGAAACCCATTGCTTCAATTTTTTGACTTTGCCAAAGCTCCCTAATGAAACCAATCAGACGGATATAAGCTTCCTTTTAATGACCTTCTTGATCATAAATTACTTAATTACTTAATAAAGTACAGTGCTAGTGGAGAAGTCTCGAGCAATATATTTAACTTGAACGCTTCATGGGGTTATTATTTACTCCACCCATTGAAAGAGGGTCTCAATGGGGTGGTGGCTTTTACGGTTATCGGCTTAAATTATGGCTCTTTTACGGCTCAGTCTTATCATCATTTAACATAAGTCGATCTCTAATCATCCACTTTCTTAAATCCATGATGCAATCAAACATAGCAGAAATGGACGTTTTCACGCTAGAGACGGATTAGTCGTGTGAGACGGGTTATCCGTTTGATAATTTGCTACAGATAGGTAATACGTCTTAATTTGAAAATGGAATGGTTTTAATTTTGAATGAACAATCCACCTGACTTTATCCGTCAATTTTGACAGACAGTTTGAAGATGGATTATCATTTTCAGAGAGCCTGTGTACAGCCGCCTCCTCCCCAAAGAAAAAATCGGAGAAGGGTTGTCTGTGCGGGAGGGGGCGACTGTACACAGCATTTCGCGCTGTTAATGCGTTTTGTTTCAGGGTCCCGCGGCGAGTTTTTTTCTCAGATACGTCACCGAAATGCCTTGACGGAGATTGCGTGGGGAGACGCCGTACAGGGACTAGGCATGGCAATGTGTACCGTAGCGTCAGGAAAAAACAGGAAATTGTTGTTTATCAGTAACGTGTTTTAAAAACAGTTACATATCTGCGTGTTGTTTCATTAGTATTTCGAGGGCACGACCCCCTGAAAACTACAAATATCAATCCCCAGCAAGAAGCCAGATTTTCGCTAAATTAGTCCTCCGAGAGAGCGGCGGAAATGGAGTTTAGTTCTAGGTCAACACCTAAAAACTAGGCGCTTGGCCTTATAACGTCCATACGGAGTCAAAGTAGCCGGGAAATAAAAAACGCAACCAGAAGTGAGTTTAGCACCTTCCTGAAAATTAACAAATCTAGGAAACAATTTCTTTTACGGTTAACTCGTGTTTACCCTATTTACGACTATCGATTAAAATTTTGGCCGTTTTACGCCTATTGTTGGTTATCACATGACGTCACTAAAATTCAAACTAAAAAACTATCGATCCTTCCGATATTTTACTTCCACGATGTATTAGAGCAGCTGAAAACTAATTTTCGGACAATTTTCGCTTCAAAAGGGTTCTTGGTTTTGTGATAGAGTACGCTTGAATTTCTAAGCTTTTGCGTGACGTTGCATTTACATGACAGCCAAGGGAGCTGTCATGTAGGTTAAAAAAATGACTTATTTCAGGAACGTTCGCTATCTAAACAGTTCATGTATTAGAAAAAAGTATTACTTCAATGTTTATGAGTTCTTCGAAGAATAAATTCACGATCTTATAGCAAAACTCGATAACAGATGTTTCTGATGGTTTCCGTCCGCCCTGTTGGAGCTCATCCAGGTGAGCACCAGCATGGCGTTTCCATACAAGTCTCTATAATATAAGTTTGGGTAAAACATTTCTTCGGATATCTTGTATACGAAATATTCCTCTGACCTGAACCTTTGCGAGGGTCTTTTTTTTCCCCTCTTTTCATTTCCCAGATTCTGGACTTTATTTATTGAACGGTTTTGATTTTTATTTTGGTCTAATTTGAATGGCGTGACACTGAAAACCAGCAATCGGTTAACCCCATTGAGACCATCTTGAAAGTGCTTTACTTAAAATGTGACCCAAAGTTGAAAGATCATCACTTCAATTCATAAATCTTCAATTATAGCGAAGCGCCGCGAGTTGGCGGAGCCCCAGTGCTAAGAAAATGTGGTAATCTACCCATCCGAGAAAATTTGGTAATCACGTGACCGTACACTGACTGTCTCCGACCGTCCGTCCGCACCACAGGCCTACCAATGTAAAATAACTCAATCAACAGGTATGGCAACCCAAATGCAACTCAAGGTTTTAATTGGAAGGAAATCACATGACCGCCAGGACTTTTCGAAAGAAAAAACAAAAACAAATTCTTGTCTTTTTCGGCGTTATTTTTTATGTTTACACTAACGTGGATAACAGAGAAAGAGCCAGAGCGAGTTATTGAAAACAAAGAAGAATAATTTCGTAGGAACTTGAAAAACACGGAAATTCAAAGCGCCGTTGAGAAAATGAGAAATGCTAGCGGCCAGCAAGGTGAAAATGAGCGGCAGTGAAAAATAAAAGGGAACATGACTACAGGAAACAAAATATTGGGTAAGCACATACGACATTATTCCTCCTTAAAAATAATGTATAACTAAGACTAACTAGGTTTGACGTTTTAGTCGTACAAAACAGCGTTATAGTAGTGCCAAAAAAAAAAACGGAAGGGAAAGACAAAAAAGCGTGCTGCGCGTGCAAATTTGTTTTTTGCTAATTAGCAGAAAAAGTGTGCTGCACGTGCAATTTGCTTCTTTACTAATTAGATCTATTAGTCTTGAAGCCATTTTCATTGTCGTCCTCGTTTAACTTTACACGATTTAATTTTTTTTGTTTATTAGTATTATTAACCAGAGCTTCACTTTTAGCCCTGGCTAAATCTATATATCACCAGAGTTACAAACAGGGCAGAATCTTTCGCTGTGGGGAGTTGATTATATCTTCCAGTTTCGATCATGAGTTTGTGGTCACTTATACGAATTAATACGAATATGCTGTAAAATTGTAGTTTCTTAAAATGATGGATTGTATGTTACCAATATGTAATATATTTTTGTTTTATTATATCTATTTATAAAATAACTAAGATAGTACGCGCGCTCTGATCGGCCGAGAGGAGTGTTTGCATGAGAGTATGTAAACATGGTTGTGGCGTCAAGTTGTTTGGCTTTTCGCGCGCTAATCACGCAAGCACGAATTTGAAAAAGTGTTTACTTTATTTACCCATTCCTTCGTCGGCTGAAACATGGAAAATCGTTACAAAGAAGGTGAGTCAATTTTTCTTCGCTTAAGTTGACATTTTAAGCGAAAAAAATCCGTATTTTGCAAAGCATCTTTTAGCAAAACAAGAACTGATTACGCGTTCAAGACTTCGTGGACAAGATTTTGCGACTGGTAAGACTTTCTCTTTTAATCAGTGCCATACAAAGAGCTTCCTTTTTTTTCTCGGGAAAGTTATTTTATAAAAGCAATAGAAAACGTTTTTCCTGTGTTTGTATAGCCTGATGTAAACACTCAAGGCGTTGGGAGAATTCTCGACAGTTATGCGTCTCGGGTTTGCATAACTGTCTCGAATTCTCCCAACCCCTCTC